CAATCACAAAAGGACAAATACTGTATGAGATCACTATTATAAAAACTTATGAAAAGGTTTACACACAGAAAGAAACAATCTTTGATGGTTACGAGTGAGGGGAGAGATGGGGAGGAAAAAACATTGACTGAACAATAGACAAGTGGTAACTTTGGTGAAGGGTAGACAGTACACAATACTGGAGAAGTCAGCGCAGCTTGACTAAGGCAAAGTCATAGAAGCTTCAAAGACACATCCAAATGCCCTGAGGGACTGAGTTACTGGGCTGAGGGCTGGGGACCATGGTCTCGGGGGACATCGAACTCAACTGGTATAACATAGTTTATAAAGGAAACATTCTACATCCTACTTTGGTGAGTACCATCTGGGATCTTAAAAGCTTGTGAGCACCCCGTTTGGAGCAAAGGAGAATGAAGAAAACAAAAGACACAAGGGAAAGGTTAATTCAAAGGACCACGGGCCACAGCTACCAGTCTCCACCAGACTGAGTCCAGCACAACTAGATGGTGCCTGGCTACCACTACCAACTGCTCTGACAGGGATCACAACAGACAGCCCCTGACAGAATGGGAGAAAAATGTAGAACAAAATTCAAACTCACAAAAAAAGACCAGACTTACTAGTCTGACAGAGACTGGAGAAATCCCGAGAGTATGGCCCCTGGACGCCCTTTTAACTCAGTACTGAAGTCACTCCTGAAGTTCACCCTTCATCCAAAGGTTAAACCTGTTGCCAACGAGTCGATTCCGGCAACTTTTTTCATCCAAAGATTAGGCAGGCCTATAAAACAAACAGTAACACATGTAGTTCAACCATGTATGTAAGACTAAATGGGCACACTAGCCCAAAAGCAAAGATAAGACGGCAGGAAAGGACAGGAAAACTGGATGAATGGAAATGAGGAACCCAAGGTTGAGAAGGGGAGAGTGCTAACACATCGCAGGGCTGGCAACCAATGTCACAAAACAATTTGTGTATTAATTTTTTAATGAGAAACTAATTTGTTCTGTAAATTTTCACCTAAAGCACAATTAAAAAAAAAAAAGTGGCACAACTGGAAAAAATTAATAAAATTATCCAATGACAGCTGTGAAAGTCTATATTTTCCTTTATAAGAAACTTCACACAAAAATGTGAACAGCTGGCAAATTAAAAAAAAAGTCTCAAATCAAAAAAAAGAGAGAGAAAGAAACATCTGCCTTGAGCATTATGCTCTTTTAAGAACTGTCTATATGGGATGAAATTGACAACAGCAACTTGAAAGATTAGACAGAAAACATAGGGGACAGTGAAGTTGTGTTAAAGGGGGAGGAACAACTCAGAAAAGGAGGGTGAGAATGGTTGGGCAACTCGAAGAATGTAATCAATGTCACTAAATGGTACATGTAAAAACTGTTGAATTGGTGTATGTTTTGCTGTGTATATTCTCAACAACAACAAAATAAATAAAATTAAATATTAAAAAAAATAACTCAGACTCTTCTACATTAGAAACATTTCTTTCAGGTAAATATACACTCATTTCCAAGTTCAAATTTCCTACCAGATCTGTTCCCCCTTCTCAAGGAGCTGTGGTCACATACCTGCTTCCTTACTGGGGTACAGGGAGAAATTCATATCCTGATGGCATCAAGCATGGGCCCTCTGCTCCACATCTGTGCCCTGGCTTCAACTGAGGTGTCTCATCTGGACACTGATGTCCGACTCAGTGTCCACCGACGTGTGACCAGCCCTCTCGGTGTTCTGGGATGCTGTGCTTGCCCCAAGGCTCAAGTCCTTGGTCTCTGTCCTGTCCTCCATGGCCTCCCTTGTCCCAGTCTGCTCCTTCAGCATATCTGTGCCCCACTCGGGTGCGTGTAAATTCTGAACCCCACAGGCAGCATGCACGGGCACAGGCAGCCGGGAGCACGGCCGAAGCACCAGCATGCCCACTGTTCCACGCTGCACTTGTGTCCCAGGGCTGCTGCAACAAAATACAACAAGCTGGCTGGCTTCAAACAACAGAAACTCACTCCTTCACAGTTCCGGAGACTGGGAGTCCAAAACTGGGGTGTCAGCAAGGCCACGTTCCCTCCGAAGTTTCTCAAGCAGAATCCTTCCTTGCCTGTCCTGGTTTCTGGTGGCTCTTGGCGTTCCTGGGTTTGTGGCAGCAGAACTCCAGCCTTCGCCTCTGTCCTCACATGGCCTCCTCCCCCGTTTCTCTCCTGTGTTCTCTCCTCTTCTTTAAGGACACCAGTCATTGGATTTGGCGTCCACCTTAAGTCCAGGGTGACTTCATCTCCAGATCCGTAACTAATTACATCTGCAAAGATCCTATTTCCAGATAAGATCACATTCTGAGGTTCTGCATGGACACAAAGTTTTGAGGGGACACTTTTCAACCCATGACACACACCATGTGGTCACAACTGTCATGCCAAATCCAGAGAGTCTCCAAGAGGCTCGAGGTCTCCCAGGGAAATGCAGTACTCGTCCTAAAGTTCCCAGAGTGTCCAGGTCATCTGGTCGTTACTAGATCCCTTTAGAGGTTCACATCCCACAGGGAGAACCAGATCGTTAACTGCAAACTTCCCTCCCCATCTCATTTCTCCCGCAGCACTGGGGGCTTTCCTCTTTCCCATGAGGTGGGAACTTCCCTACATCATATTCTAAGTTCTCTCTACACTCACAGTAACAATGCCACCATCTGCATAGGCTCAGCGTAGCTCTTGATACGTAAAGGGAAGATTTAAGCCTCTAGAAAGCCTTTTTCTCTTTCAACTACTTCTGGCTTTCAAAGACTACTGCCTAGTTATGGATTCAAACAATCTAATTTGAAGTTTACAGCTGGAACATTCAACAAGCACATGAAAAGATGCCCAATGTCATTAGCCATTACGGAGATGCAAATCAAAACCACAATGATGTATCACCTCACCCCCAGCAGAATGGCAATGATCAAAAAAAAAAAAGAAAAGAAAAGAACAGGGGTTGGTGAGGTTGTGGAGAAACTGGAACCCTCATCCATTGCTGGTGGGAAGGTAAAATGGTATAGCTACTGTGGAAAACAGTTTGGCAGTTCCTCAAAAAGTTGAACATAGAACTACCATACGACCCAGCAATCCCAATCCTAGATATATACCCAGAAGAAGTGAAATCAGGAACATAAACAGAAAGCTGTGCACCAATATTCATTACAGCACTTTTCACAATAGCCAAAATATGGAAATAACCCAAATGTCCATCAACAGATGAACAGAGAAACTAAATGTGGTATATACATATGATGGAATATTACTCAGCTTTAAAGAGAAATGAAGTAACATGGATGAACCTTGAAAATACTATGCTGAACGAAATAAGTCAGTCGCAAAAGGACAAATACTGTACGATCTCACTTATATGAAATAAGCAAATATATAGAAACCAACGATTATTAAAGGTCACCAGGGGCAGGAGGGAGGGGAAAGGGGAGTTTTGCTTAGGGGGCACTGACTTTATGTTACCCGTGGTGGAATGATTTGGAAAAGGATACGATAATGGTTGCACAACATGAAGAATGTAATAATGCCACTGAATTATACCTGTAGAAATTGTTGAATTGGCAAATGTTTTGTTGTGTGTATTTTCATCACCATGAAAAAAAAAAACAAAGCTGAACCATGATGCCTTTGTCCTAGGCTATCTCCACACTTCTCTAAGCCACTGATACAGGACAACCAGGGACTAGGGTGTTTTAGGAACAAAAGAACCGAGCTTTGGCTTAATATCACCAGCATATTACTCAGCTCACTCCACTACGTGGGATATGGAAGTACATATGTGAACCCCTGAAGGACTGTGTCTTACCCATCTTTATCCACAACACTCAGCACAGCGCCTGGCATATGGCAGACGCTCATTATATGTCTGTTGAATGACTGTGGGGAACTGGAAGGCTTCGTGATAGAGGTGACATTGAGCCAGGCTGTGAGAAACAAATGAGTGGGATTATGTTCGAAGGAAGTGGGCAGGAAAGGCATTATAAGCAAAGGGCAAAGATACGAAGGCAGGGAGGACAGAAGAAAGCAGTATCTTCAGGGATGGCGCAGAGCCCGGCATGACTGGGGAGTACTGGGAGGTAAGGCTGGAAAGGTGGACAGTGGCAAACACTATGAGTGACATGCCGCAGAGCTGGGATCTGAACGGGAAGAAAGGGGAGAGAGGAGGTGCACACTGAAAATGAAGTGAGCTTCAGGAGTGGCTCATATGAATGAATGCTTTACTGATCTGTAACTGATTATCAGGGAAGCCAATATCTCTAAGAGTTCTTCCCGATCTTCTGAAGCTGACATCAGCAGATGTAGCTGTGTCATTCCTAAACGGGCCCCCAGCTCCTGTCCTCACAGATTTCATGCTAGGCCAACCTACTGCGGCGTTTCTCAGGTTCCCATGTTCTTTCTTATCTGACACCAAGTTGGGGGCAAATGCCACACAGTCCAAGGCCACAAACTAGGACTAGTCCAAAGAAAAAAGTTATTTCACGACCAGGAAATGTTTTATTGTTTCAAAATGGTCAATGCAAAACAAAATGCCAAATCATGTAGGCACTATATATACATATATGTACATCAAATGATAACTATGTTTGCTCATCAAGTTCAAGTTTCGCCATCAGGATGACGGCAAATGTGACTATTTTTACCAGTCTTTGTTCCATGACAAAAAGGATTAGCTTCCCAAATAGGAAGGATTTGCATCTGCACTTTTTCTTTGCCTTTAATGAAACATTGTCTGCGCTGGCATGAAGAGTTTGTGATAGAACCAGTTATTTTTCCTGGTCCCCAAACAAGACTTAAATCCCATTTGTTGAAAATCAAGAAGTACTTTGCTACCTTAAATATCACCAGGCACAATACTGCCTCTGAGTCTGCCATTATTCTATGGATGCTCAAGGACAAATTGGGCATGCAGTGTACACGTGTACAGCGCATCTCTATGCAATAGAAACTTGAGGACTTTTTTTTTCTAAAAACTCCCTTTTAAAGGTGAGACTCGAACAAAACTGAAGGTGGAGATGATAATAAAATCTTTTTTAAGACATTAATACTAACAGTAATATCAGCAATGATCATGTGCACAAACATCCTTTTAAAAAATTGTCTGCAAAAGATCTCCAAGAATATATAGTCACTGGAGTTATTTTCCTAGGAAAGGGTTATAAGTGAGGCTAATGCAGTTGTGAGAGAGTTTGGGACCCCAGCACACGCTAATCTGGAAGGCACATGGACAGCAGGCTATGATTCAGAGCTCTAATATCAATCATGTTCTGTTCAGTCTTCTTTTACCAAGTATTTCAAATCCAACCCTTTTTTTCCATTTCCATTGCCATCACCCTAAATCCAAGTTCTATTACATTGAAAGTAGGCTATTACAAGTACCTCCCATTTCCGGGGCTTTTAACCAGAGAGTGCAGCTAGGAAAATTAGCTAGCTAAAGAGCTTTTCTCAAGCTCTTGCCTCTTTTTTCAAGCTTTTGGGCTCCACACCAGACCCCCTGAAATCTCCAATGGTGGAGGACCCCACACGGGTTGTTTTCAAATGTCCCACAAGTGATTTTGAAGAGCAGCTCTGATTAGGATGCACTAACTGGTCTCTAAACTCATCCTCCACCATGATGTTATCACAGACCACCCTCTGGCTTATCTACTGAAAGGATCTCTTTGATGATATCCAAAATCATCAGTAATGTCCAATCACGAACACGATAGCTGCTGGTTGGCTCTCACCCACTTATTCTAGTATAATTCTGATCTTATCACTTACTCCTATGACTCGACCACACTGTTCCACTCATTGGCTGACATTTCCACCCTTGAGCTGGGATTAATGCCATCTCCTCACCAGGCATGCCCCCCAACATGTATCCATCGATCACTCCATAAATCACTCCCAATCCTTTAAGACTCACCTCAAGTGCTGCTCCACAAAGACTTCTGTGGTCACCCATGACTGCACTGCCAGAAATGGTCTGTCCCTCCTCTGAACTTCTAGGGCACTTCGTGTGTGCCTGTGGAAAGTAAGTACACAACATGATGGAGAGGGGAATATCTAGGAGCATAGACTCAAGTGACCCAGAGCAATTTCTTTAAAGTTCAATGTTTTTAAAATGTTATGTGAGTTTTGAATTCTCCATAGTCTATTAACGGAGCCCACTAATGCCTCCAGGAAGATGCACCATGTTTATTCTGAAGCTTCTGTTACCCCCTGGCACATGCTGTGTACTGGAGCAGTGAGTTCATATGGCTGAGTAACACAGAGAGAAAGGACTCAATAAAGATGTCTGAAATAATGAATAGATAAATGAATCAATGAATGAAAGTCAAATTCTTCTTTCCTCTATATTTTAGAGCAATTTAGGCACACGCAGCTCCTTACCTCCAAGCCTGCAGGCCTGACCATCTCAATATTCAAAAAACAAGAGTCCTCCAGTTAGCAGGACTCACCCTGCTTAGAAGGCATTTAAATACCTTCGGAGACCTGAGTATGTCATTTGGGGTCCCCGACCCTGACCCCAACTGGCTTCTCAAAGTACTTCTTCCAAACACATCCTCCCTCTCTCCAAGAGGGATTTGGTGAATAAAGTCTCTTCCATTTCCTTACATACACATGTAAGAAGGAAATTCTGCTGTGATTCAACCAGGTGTGTTACACACAGGGCAACACCCCAGGCCCCTCAATGCTCATCACCACTATTTTAGATTAAAAACTAGTCAGCAACACTTCACCAAGGAAGGCGTTCAAGCGGCCAACAAACCCATGAAAAGCTGCTCGCAATCATTAGCCATCAGAGAGATGCAAATCAAAACTACAATGAGATACCATCTTACCCCTGCAAAAATGGCATTGATCAATAAAAAGACAGAAAAAAATGCTGGCTAGCTTGCAGGGAGATTGGAACCCTGCTCCACTGCTGGTGGGACTGTCAATTGGTTCAACCACTATGGAAAATGATATGGCGCTTCCTCAAAAAGCTAGAAATAGAAATACTTTATAAATCAGCAATCCCACTCCTAGGTATATACCCTAGAGAACTAAAACAACTGACATGAACAGATATATGCACACCTATGTTCATTGCAGAATTATTCACAATAGCAAAAAGATGGAAACAACCTAACTGCCGATCAACAGACAAATGGATAAACAAACTGTGGTACATACACACAGTGGAATACTATGCAGCCATAAAGAATAATGATGAGTTCTCAAAATATATTTTAACATGGATGAGCCCAGAGGACATTGTGCTGAGTGAAATAAGTTAATCACAAAAGGGCAAATACTGTATGATCTCACTATTAAAAAAGACAAGAATAGGTATACATACAGAAAGCAACATTCTCTGGTGGTTACCAGGGATGGGAGGGAGACAGTAGACACTTGTTAGTTTTGGTGACAGGTAAAGCAATACCGAATAAGGGTAAAGTCAGCTGGACAACGAATAAGAAAGACCAAAGAAGAATTGATGCCTTTGAACTATGGCGTTGGAGAAGAATATTGAATATACCATGAACTGGCAGAACAATGAACAAATCTGTCTTGGAAGTACAGCCAGAATGCCCCTTAGAAGCAAAGATGGCAAGACCTTGTCTCACATAGTTTAGACATGTTATCAGGAGGGCCCAGTCTCTAGAGAAGGACATCATGCTTGGTAAAGTAGAGGGTCAACAAAAAAAGGAAGACCCTCAACAAGATGAACTGACACAGTGGCTGCAACAATGGGCTTAAGCATAACAACTATTGTGAGGATGGCACAGGACCAGGCAGTGTGTTGTTCTGTAGTACCTAGCGTCGCTATCAGTTGGAACTGACTCAATGGCACCTAACAACAACAACAGCAGCACAACTTGACCAAAGTAAAAGATGACACTAAGAAGTACATAAAAATAAGGGATGACTTTGGTAAAAGCTACAACATATACAATTTTGCAACAACAGTAATAACAACCAAAAAATATGTGTGTGGTTACATAGGTAGACATGTATGCTTCTATATGTATAGGTAAGCACATATGAATATACCAGTGGGCATGTATAAGTGTTTCTGTAGGCAAATGTATATACATGTTTGTGTGTGCTGCATATATCTTCATATATAAAATAAATCACGTAGGGGGTACAGTTATGGATGCTTCCTAGACATAACCAAACACCTCGCAGGGTGCGGTTACTGGGTTTGAGGGCTTAGGACCATAGTCTCTGGGGACAACCCAGTCAATTAGTATAACAGCTCATAAAGATAATGTTCTACATGTTAGTTTGGCGAGTAGCATCTGGGTCTTAGAAGCTTGCAAGTGGCTCAGATACAACTATTGGTCTCTACACATCTGGAGCAAAAGAGAAAGAGGAAGCCAAAGACTCAAGGAAGAAACTAGTGTACAGGACTAATAGTCTACATAAACCACTACCTCACCTACCTTGAGAACAGAAGAACTAGATGGTGCCTGGCTACCGCTACCAACCATTCCAACCAGGGACACAGTAGACTGTCCTGGATAGAATTGAAGAAAAATGTAGAACAGAACTCAAATTCCTAAAAAAGGCCAGACTTATCAGACCATTGGAGACTAGAGGTAACCCCGAGACTATTGTCCTGGGATATCCTTTAAACTTGGAACTCAAACCACTCCCAGTGATCACCTATCAGCCAAAAGATAGAGTGGCTCATAAAATAAATAATATCACCCATGAGTACTGTGTTCCTCTAAACAATAATCTAAATGAGACCTAATGGTCAACAATTACCCTAGACCAAAGACAAAAAGGCAAGGGGAGACAAGGAAGCTAGATTAATGGAAATAGAACAACCAGAATGGAAATAATGAGAATGCTGACACATTGTGAAAAGTGTAATGTCATTGAATAATATGCACAGAAATTGTTAAATGAGAATGTAATTTGCTATGTAATTTTTCTCCAAAAACACAATAAAATATTTTTTTTAAAAAACTGGTCAGCAGTACCCAAGGACCATGCGTTATGCCTGTCCCCCAGCTCAAGGCCTTACACATGATGTGTGTTTACTAAATGCTGTGCTACATTGGGCCTGGAAGGCTTGGCGCCTGGACCTCCTCCAATAATAATACCCTGCTGAGGAGGCTCGGGAGTGAGAGGGAAGCAGTGGCCTCAGTAAGAACACGTGCTTCAGAAGATACAGTGATGGTGGGAACTTTTTCTTCTGTTTACAGAAGTGGTCCCTGGGTGGCGCAAATGGTTAAGCACTCAACTACTAGCTGAAAGGTTGGAAGTTCAAACCCACCCAGAAGCTCCTGGAAAAACAGGCCTGGTGATCTGCTTCCAAACGGTCACAGCCCTGAAAACTCTGTGGAGCAGTTCTACTCTGGCACACATGGGGTCGCCATGAGTCGGAATGAACCCTACAGCAACTAATAACAACAACTTGATACAAGGTTGACCATGGGACTCAAGTCAAGTGAAGAAAGTTCCATGACAACTTATCTTTATATTCTGTAATGTGGCTAACATAATACCTAGGACTTAATGGACATTCAGGAAGGTCTCACTGAATGACTGACTGGCTGGCTGGCTGGCTGGCTGGCTGAATAAATGGCCAACATGCAACTGGGATGGAAAGAATAAATAAACTGGTCAGTAGCTACATCTTTTTCTACCTTTGTGTTCATACTTGTCATAGCTAAACCATATGAAAGGGAAGCCTAGCCATATTTTTCCTACACATAGTAAGAGAATGATTGCCTCTAAAATCTTACGTCAACACACTAACACTTTAAGGCTTAACCATCTAGGACTATCTCTTGATTACAAACGGAAGATAAAAGAAATAAATGTTCAGATGAACCCAGGAAAAGCTGGAGAGGGTAAAGGAAACCCCAAGCCCTCAGCATAGCAAAGCCAAACAGCCGAACTAACAATGTTAACTTTATGAACGAAAAGGCCAAGATCATCTGGAGAAAGAACCATCTTCCCCACCCCTCCCCACACCTCCTCTGCACAATTTTTGTCATCCTTCTTCTTTCCTGCTTTGGCACACCCACCCCATCATCTGCATGTCCAGAGGAGTACAAAGGCATCCAGGACATGCAGCTCCAGCTACGTGTCTCCAGGCCTCCCACAGTCCTTCCTATTCCATTATAATTTGGGTATGAATAGTCTGTCTCTCAAATTCTAGGCTTATGAGGGACTCAAATGTTATCCCTAAAGAACTTTAGCAAACCAGATGAGCTAAACAGGGCCTTAACAAATCATCTTCCAAGAAAAGAAAAATGATACATGTCACCTTTAAAAAGCCAACCAGTCACTAACAAAATAATAGGACTCATAAGAATGACAATTCTTTTTTTTTTTTTCTCCCATGACACAAACCGTATGCAGAAGCACTGTATTCCAAAGAGTACTATTTACTTCTCTTAAAGTGGTCACACTAGGAAGTAATCCACATGCTTTGTGCTCTTGGTATTATATACTCAAGAGCAATGAGTAATTGTTGAGTCTGATTATTATTGGCACCAATTAGTCAAAATATATTGTCATATTAAGTAGCAGATAGTAGAGACCTGTAAAAATGAGAAGCAGGAGCAAAAGGTTTTGAAACCAGTGGAAAAAAAACAGGCTTTTTCCTGTGGGGTAGGAGGTAGTTAGAAGGGAGTAAAAGAAATGGATCAATGATTTCCAATCTCTTCCATATGATGACTCCCTTTTCTAACCTCAAGAAATGTTAGGGTTCTGGTTAAAGATGGAAGACTAAACATACTCATTAGCCTCGGCTCCTTCCTAAGACCCCACAAAAGCCATAAGAGATTTGATTGAAGGCTAAAGCCCAAGAACAAAGAGAACCAGATCAGGACAACAGCAACACAACAATGGAAACTGGAAAGCAGATGGATGAGCAGCAACTGACTTAGAAGACCTGAGAAAGTGAAACCCTAAACCAGCTCCCCACCACCCATCTGTCAGTTTGTCCTACTGTGGTGGCTTGCGTGTTGCTGTGACGCTGGAAGCTATGCCACCGGTATTTCAAATACCAGC